AGGGGAATGGGGGTATTTCAGTTTCAGTTACATCGATGACTCAAATATTCCACACAGCTTCAAAATCTCCTCGCTGAAGCAGAAGTTCCACAGGAAACACTTGTTTGAAATTCAACGGCAGGCGCGCAGACGTGCACATGCGCACACTCGCACTTGTGCACGTGCACGTGCACACACACACACACACACACACACACACACACACACACAAAAGGTGTACGCATGCAAAACGGCAGACATCAACCACACACACCAGATAAAGACAGTGTGCATCTGCGGCCGATCCACTAACGGCAGCCACTGCTGGAGTCAGAGATGAGGATCTGGCAGAAGCTCCAACACTCCCTAAAAGCCAAAATACAACTGAGGTCTGTCTCTGGGTCAGAGAGGGGATAGACAGTCTATCAAAATGCCCCCACACCTAGTTCCTTTATTTGCTCAGTATCAATCTCAGCATTAACCCTCTGCTAATGGGACAGCTGTGGGTCAGCGCCTCGCATCTTCGGGATGCCAATCAGGGCCTTAAGCTGAGAGATCAGCCTTCGGGACAGAGGTGCTCGTCTGCCTTTGAGTGGCTTTTTAAACACGGAGACGCCCGTATCGATTTTAGCTCTAGCCTGAAAGAGAGGAGGGGGGAGGGGGGGTATTGCACTCGCCAGGGCCTGTGTCGGCAGCGGCTGTCTGTGTGTCTGGACGGGAGCCATCCCCAGGTCCCCGGTCACCCTCCACTGATCAGGGGGCCTGACAGAATGACCTAGCAGAGAGGCACTGAACCTGCAAACACGAAGGGGGCAAGGAGCTGGAAGCTCGAGGGGGTCGGGGGCTGGCGGGGGCAACATCAGCAGAGATCTCAGTAATAGAAAAGGGTTTTAACCTTAATGTTGGAGCCCAAACCCTGTTAGAGGCCAAGTAATCTCCCCCCCTGCACTGCTCTCATTTGAACTGGCTGATTTTTTTTTTTTTCTTCTTCTTCTTCTCTCTCCCTCTCCCTCTCTGAGTGGCTTGTGAGAGGGACCGACGCTGTCTGCTGTGGCATTGGTTAGAGAGGCGGTAATGATGAGCAGAGCAGTCTGTCTACCTCTACCTTTAGTATTTGTAGTAGTTGAAAGTTGCATCAACTCCACCAACTACGATATTAGTGACAGTTAAGAAAAAAGAAAACGTATTTTTCCACTTACTGTCCCTTTAAATTGATGAATCCATGCAAACATATGTACTTTCATATAGGTGACACTTTGAATGCAGGACTCTTCTTTCATTATATACTGTGGTATTGCTACCGTCATGCAAGTGAAAGATCTGAACACGTCTTCCACCACAGCAGATACGTGCTGCAAAAGAACCAGTTGGACACAAAAGGTCAATTGGTGTGAAGACATCTTTGAAAGGATTACTGTTAATATTCAGATTCTCTGCAATAAAGAGCATAAAAAAAAACCCCTCTTCCTTCCATATACATTATGGTGCCTTGTAACATAAGTGCTTAAAAAGACTGCGGTCCATGTATTGAGGTATAGTCATATCTATCATCATTTGGCTCAAGTATTGTGAATATCTTTGAAAAAAAAAAAAATTAACAGTGAATAGGCTCGGGCACTTTCGGGTAAAATATGCTAATTAACACACTTGAAATTTCCCATATGAAATCTATCTGCACCAAGACAATGAGAAAATAATTACAACAGAGGTAGAATTACAATGGCCATTTTAATCAACCCCTACACTAGCATTTCACCCTATTTATACAGATTCTGATTCCATGACCCACTGGTAAGTAATCACTTGAAAATTACGGCTCCGTTATAATAGGTCGACGTTTTAGACACATTATTCCTGCAGAGACAAGGGCTCTGAAGATTACAATAAAGATATGAATCTTGCATAACAACAATCACCATGCATTTTGTAGGGTTTCAAAAAAAAAACATTCTGGGGAAAAAAGACAAACTGTCAGGAGGTTAAAAAGTCTTTAAGTACTTAAGCAACTTTGGAATATACATGAGGCAAAGTGTGACAGTCTGAGAATGTTGATTCAACACTTCAGCAAAAGTATTTCAGCACTGATGATGAAATGAATGATGAAGAGGCACTTGCCCTTTGTTTTATCTTCATCTAACTCTGCCTAACTGTCTAGTATCATAACACTTTATAGGTTTGTATATAAATCTGAATTGTAGCACCGTCAAGGAATCTTTTTCTTGCAAGAAAAGGTGCGAGTGCGAGACTCTTCCCCCCCCCCCCACATTAAACAATCCCTTTTACTGCATTTATTAGGGGTCACAAATTCACTTCCAAAAAGGTCAATTCTGCGCACAGGTAATAACCTTGAAGGTGTGCCACTAAAGAGTCCAATCAGGGACTCACACAAAGGCCAGAATAATGTCCTTCTTAAAAAAAACAAAAAAATAACAGAGTCATGTTATTTGACCTTCCCTTTCTCACTACAGAATATTACTGAGATAAAAAAAAACAGACCTGTTCTTTGGAAGCTAGCGAGGTCATCTTTATCAAACAGAAGAACGTATTTGACTATCCGGTGAATAATGTGACGCTTAAAACTCCTAAAACTGGTGCCGGGTGGTGACAATTTATTCTGAGGCAGGGGCATGAAGAGCCGAGGCCCTGCTTGCAGGAGATATCAGCTGCTTGAAAACCCGGAACGGTCTCTTGAGGAATGTCCATCTCCCCCGCAAGATACTCCCTCCCTCCCCCAGGATGGTGGAGCCACAGGAGGAACCGTTCACCGACAACGGCCCAACAGGAAGGGCAAAGTTTTACTCTTTTTTTCCGTCTAACAAGCAGCAGGGCAATGGCAATCACCACACTTCTGTATAACCGTGTGCATTTATGATACCCAGTTCATCATGATAATTTCAGCTTTTTAGGTCACACACACACAATCATTAGTTGTGTGGCGAGGTTCAGTTGCTCACTGTTAAATACACTGCCCTGAAAATACACGCAGTTTTTAAATCATACGTACCCGCTGTCGTGTTTACGTTGCCGCTTTAAGGGGACCCTTTAGTTAAAAAGACAACTCGTCAAAACAATGTTCTCATGACTGAAATAGGATATGTGCTGTTATTACAACACTACAATAGGCTTCCTCTTGTTGTGAAAAGTCGGCGTCCAAATACTGTACACCAGCTTTCAATCGGACAGCCGGGTGTGTGTGTGTGTGGGGGGGGGGGGGCAGGATGTAGGCAGCTAGATGATTTCTTATTGATTTCCTGTTTCTGTGGAAAAGAGGGCTCTCAATTACCCAGCCAGCTAGCAATCCGATTGGTCACGTCCTCACCAAACAAAACCACAGTGAGACTATGACACTAATGGGTTAACTTGATCCCCCCCTACAATAATTTTCCAGCTTCGATTCAACCACAGACAGAGAGACACGGGTACATAAAACTTTCACAAAGATTAGTGTTTATTATCACCGCACAGATTTGGGGGTTTTGCCTGTGTTTGACAGGACTATAAATGTTCTTGTAACTCTCTCAAAAGAGAAGTAGCATATCTTCCTCCCTCAAACATTCTCTTACTAAACAGTGTGTGTGTGTATGGGAAAGAGAGAGCCTTTGAGGATGTGTGTGTGTGTGTGTGTGTGTGTAGGGGGGTCGATAGGGGCGACATCAATTACGACGCAAAACTGTTGTCACAGGGGCTTATCTGCTGAGATGAAAGAAAAGCATGCCTCCCTGCAGAAGTGCAATACTCGACACACACCTGCCAAGCTAGACCTCTTGACAGAAACTCTTTGGTTTGTTTTTTTTGCAACTGAATCTCTTTTCCTCACTGATTCAGTAAACACGCCACCGGCAAGTCATTAAGCTTGATACCAAAAAAAAAAAAAAAAAAAAGGCAGGAAAAGGCGCCCTGGAAAAGTTAACAACCTAGAAACAAAAGAACTGTTGTGGCAAATGCAAACAGAATCCTTATTATAGCTTGGCACTTACACGGATGGAAGCAATCAGCTGCTATTAGCCTTTGCTGACACATCTCACTCTTAAGAACAATAAAAAACACACACACACACACACACACACACACACACACAAAGCTTTCAGCCGGTTTCATTTTGTGACCTGCAATCCATAGCTCAGTATGAAATCATTTCACTGAACAAGAGTGCATCTCGACTTAATTAGAGCTGCTCGTAAATCAAGCAGTTCAATGCCAAATAATTGTTTTGTAAAACCTCCCCGTGTCGCGACATTTGCATGTTGCGTTTGCAACGTGATTATTTCAGAGTTTACAATACTTCCAAAGTTTTATCAAGTTATAAAATCAGATTTTAAAATGCAGAAAAAAGAGCCAACCATCATTATATGATCAAAAATGTTTGTTATTGGCGCGGCAGATTATTGTTAGGAGCAATATACCCCTATGTTATCTTAGCATGAAAGCTGAATGACACTGAAGTCTCTGTTGAACAGAGAAACGCCTCCAGCAGCTGGCACAGTTCTTCCCCAAAAAGGTAAATGTTCTGTACGGGGGGGGAAATGTGGCTAAGATGCAATCAGTGCGTAAAGACAGTCAATGCCAGAACCACTAACAGGATTTCCCCTTTTCCAAAATACTGAGCTGCGGTTGAAGGGAGAAGTGAAAGTGGAGACACGAACCAAGCCTTGGCCATGATGGAGGATGAGCGAGCACGCACACCAAGAGACCTCGGTGCTATCTCCATGTTTTAATTGGAAACACCGAAGCCAATATTTTGGTTGGCCAACTGACCCTGTGTACAACTCTCAAAACAACTTCCATTCTTGACAGTTGGAGCGCGTAAAAAAAAAAAATAAAAGTATTTAAATGTTAAATAAAACAATGCTAAACACCCACTGCATTTAGCTCAACCATCCGACTATGCGAACGCAAAGTTAGGTACATTATTTTCACTCTCTCCAATTACACGGCTCATTGTTGTTTATCATTAAAAAAAAAGATAACAGCAAGATATCCTTCTGTCCGCCCACAGCGTTCCCACGTTGGTAAAAACTTACTTCTTACGGGCTCGCAATGATTAGGCTTCTCCTCCGTCACGTGACTCTGTCTTTCGGCGGCTGGTTTCCTGGGAGAGGGTGTTCTTCCTGACGATTCACTGTCGCAAGCATCTAGGGGTCACAAGCATCGAGTGTTAAACATGGCGGGAGAAGGAAAACCTGTCGCACACAAAGATATTAATTCTGTTTGATTTAATGTCATCCTATTACGAGCTCAACTGCTCTAAATGAACGTGCATTACAGCCACTCCTCCAAACACGAGTTCACTTTTACTGCAGGGTCAGCCACGGTGGACAAAGTATCAAGGATGAGCCGGAGGCGCAGAGGTGTTCTTTTGTGCCAGAAGAAACACGGGCCGCTGGCAAATGGTTGCACAACATGGCGGGGCGGTTCAGGTAAAGGCCCTGCCAGAGCTCTGGATCTCATTTTCTCTCCTTCTGTTCCCGGGTGTGCTCTACCTGCCAAGCTTCTATTTACTGCCATATAAAGGCCGCATTCATCTGTATTGGAACAAGTATGTGGGCAAAGACTCTAGGCCAGATAGCTGCGCAAGAACACGAGAGACGGTTTCACTCATCTCTCTGAGCCGCGTCCTCTTGGCTTCTCCACTTCCAAGACTCGCTGACGCTTCGCTCATCGCACACACACTGCTGCTTTTGTTCAGTAAATAAACCTTCCACAATGACTTTATTCACTGGTTTGGTGCTAGATGCCTGCTCATAGCCCAGAGTTTTGTTTTTTTTTCTCTCATAGCTTGCAAGTTTTTTCAGTAACACACTCGTCTCTTGAGCACACTTTTGCAGCAATTCTAAGAAAAGAAAAAAAAAAAAAAAACGGTGAGGAATGATTCAGCGTGAGCTAGCAATCTCGTTTTTTAGCAAAAGCTCGACGCGTTTGCTCCAATGCTACAACACTCTCTGTTTGTAAGCAGTGATGGATGGGCGGGAGTGGAACGGATGGGCTCACGCCAGCAGCCCTGGATAGATATGGCACATACCTCAGCTTGGCGCTGATGTATGGTAGCGGCGGTTGCGTTAGCAGTACTGTGTGATGCATCGCGGTATTTAGTGATCACAGTTAGAAATAAATTGCTCTGTTCTCAGTACATCCACACTCCCCTGAGAGGGGAAATCCAGTCTTAACTGCGAGCGCCTTTGAAGGTCCAGCGAAAATCCATTCGCAATCCAGCAGCCCCAGTGATTGCTTACTTTGTCCTACTTTGCTGTTTTTTGACAGTGCCATAATGATGCTTGGTATAAATAGGATGGTTAACGGTTCATTGCTTGTTTGAAGAAAAATGAAAAGGGGGGTGTTGGGGGTAAGCTTATTTTACATGTGATAATCTTAGGGGCAACTAGAAAGTTAATTAAAAACTATAATTGGCTGTGGTTGCTGTTAATAGTCACCAGGGCGTTTCTTCAGACTTTATTGAGGGGGAAAAAGCTAAAAACATTATCAAGGCTTAATACTGAGCACAGATACTGATGTATACTAAAAAAAAAATCACATGATTATAATTTACAAAGACAAGGCTGCTATTGTCCCAAGCAGAGCGATAAACGCTGATCTGCACCAGTAATCTGTTGACGCGGCTGGTGACTCATTTGCTCTTGTTTTCTCTCACGTTTGACTGTAAAAGCAACACGAGTTCTTGACGGAATATGTCACCGATATTTATAGCTCAGCTGCAGTGCAAGCAAGTGCACTGGCTGCATGGAGAGAAGAACAACCCATGAACATTGACGAGAGATAACTTCTGATGCTCATGACCTGTGCATTGCAGTATAATATATATATATAGTAGGTATTCTTAAATGATTGCAAGTCACAAACGCTTAAACAGATGCATGATGATCTTATGAGAACTATGTTGTTGTGTGTGAACCAGTGCAAAGACATATTTAGACTTTGGGAGGTTTTTCCTCACTCTCCTACTACTTAATGAAATATTAGTTCAGTTACATCTCGCCGAAGGACCTCTGGGAACCTCTCACGGCCCCCTCAGGAGCTCCAAACCCCCACTTTGGCCAGCTCAATTGTGAATTAGTATTTCCCCCATGCTAGTGATTCCAGGCCTGCCCTGTGTGTGTGTGCCCTCCTTACCTTGTGAGGCTGACAGTAGGGGACTTGTCTCTTGCTGCGGGCCCTTCCCTGGCCCTGCCGGCCCATCCGGAGGAAGGACGGTCTCCTTGGACATGAGACGTGAGACCTTGGACGTCTTTTTTTGGAACACACGCAGAAGAAAGTAGAAGAAGATCTCCTCCCTTCCCCTCAGCGGTGTGAAAACCAGTGTGTCATCATCAGCTGAGGCTTGAACACACAAAGCACCACCATGTCATTACTCAACACGAGACAGCCGTCTGCTTATTCACACGCCGAGAAAGTGACGTAGAGCCGCAGTGAAACTTAGTGGAAATTTCCCTTCTCTAGCTTTTTTTACATAAACTTGCTGAGAGACTCCATGTGCAGCCCATTTGTTCACACACACACACACACACACACACACACACACACACACTCCTCTTTTCTTTATCAAAAAAGCGTCAGACTCTCGCTAAGTGCTGTTTATAGCTAAAGAGGATGTATTGTTTATAAAGCATAACTTACCTTTCAAACATGACAACTCCCTCGCTTCAAATCGGACTTATTCCCATCCTTGCTTCCTCCGACTCCTTCCCCGAAATGTAGGAGAGAAAAAAAAAAAAAAGAGACGAAACTGGGTGAAAAAGTAACTTTAGCGTTCAAAAACTTTTCTCCGGGGAACTTTTAGCAGCCAGTGTGTCCCGGGTCCAACTTCGTCCAGATGTTGTTGTCGTATGACAAACTATCAATAACAGTCCTCTCGACGCTCTCGACGCTCAGAGGCGGTAGTTCGCTGAGGATAGTTGCGTCTCAAAACATTTTCATCATATCCGGATTCCTGCAGTCCGAGCCAGTGAAGTGAAGCCACTCTTCTCTCCCTTCGCTTCCCGTTGGCGGCAGAGAAGTGAACAAAGCCCTCCCTGAACATGTGTTCCCCAAAATAAAGTTTGGCAAAAGCGAAAAATTAAATATTGTGGAACTTTTTTGTTGTTGTTGTAGAGGCTTATTCTACATTAAATATGTGGAAACAAATGTGTTACAATGTATGTTACAAACGTATGATGTCAAAACATCATATTTATGGCGCCTACTTTGGGAATTAAACATTAAATACAGATGTGTGATTAAAAAATAAATCCCAGTTTTGCTCAGATGTCATGGAGATAATCATTTTTAATTGTTTACACGTGGTCTTGTTTTTACGTTGACTTGTCACGTAACGTTTGCTGAGGAAGGCCATTAGATACTTTGTATCTGTATAATCGAGAGAATTTCCAAAGTTAAAAGTAACTCTTAATGCTTCAAGTTTGGGAAAAAATAAGTTACAGGATTTTTGTGTAAAATGCTTTTGAACACTTCTGATACAAGCTAAGATAAACTGGTTGTTGCAGCAACACAAGGACAGAATTACAGATAACTAGAGAGAGTAAAATAATGAACTAAAAAGAGGTACATACACCGAACATAATAATATAGTACAACATGAAACTAGAGCTTTTGGAGAAATAACAAATACAATGTAAAGTGACAGCAGTGTGGTATATAAAGCAAGTCAGTGAGATTAAATAAAACCATTAATAGTGATCACCCAAAATGCCAATCTGTGAAACTTGTATTGCATACATATTATAAATTTAATAATTGCAATATGATTGAATAATCCTAGTGTTGGGCTTCAACACTCACAACAGCTCAAGAAACACATAAATAAATAGCATTATTTTATCAGCTTTACACTTCATGACATTTCCTGATTGTATTAGAATGGCTGATAAACAACATGTTCCACAAGCTTGATACAGAGAATGCCACATTAGTAATGTGTGGGGTCTCAGATACCCCAGCTGTAAATCAAGTTTCAATACAATGGATTTTCTTATTCACTATATCTGTGGTTGTGTTGACAGAACTTTTTAAGTAGCCCTACCCCTCCCAAATACAGTAAGTCGATTAGGATTTCATTTATTAGAGTTTTAGAACAGTGTGTTTATAAGAGGTTAAAACTCTGGGGTTTGATTGACCCCAAAAATAAGTAAGGTTACCCTGTAGTATAACATACTGTACTTGTTTACTGTCTGAGACCCGTGCTTCATTGAAACTTCCAGTATCTGAAGTGTTGGTTGGATCCGGGCCTCTAGCCAACCCTATCTCTATGAAGAACCAGAACAAAACTGGAAGACAGCTGGAAAGTTTGCCAACATGACTTAAAAGTTGAAACTATAAATATAGGCCAGGCCGGAATTATCATACAAACAACCTCTTTTGTGCCAAAATCATCTTTCCCTTTTCTCAGTTTCAATTCATATAATTCACTTTAGATAAATGGCGATGGAGCCTCATGCTGTGTCCTCTGTGTAGTCAGTAGGGTATTGTTAGTGCGCTGTCTAGCTGATTGCCATCATAGCCATTGAACCCTATTGGTAACAGTATAAGTGAGATTTAAGCCTTGGTAACATGAGAGTGTGGAGGTGATTGATGTGAAATATGCCCTCCCTCATTGACTGGCTGAACTCCATTTTCTGCTCCTAATGCAGAAATCACTCCGGGTCCCGAGCATAATGATTTACGATGAATCTGTGTCAATGTTGAACTCGGCAAACCCCACGTAATCCATCTTGCAGATATACCTACCCACCCCGCCCCACCTTGCCTGCTCTCAGCTGCTCGTCCCCTGCTTTCGCGATGGGAAGGTAAGGAAAGCGTCCTTCTCTCTCTCTCTCTCTATCCGTCTGTAAGTGTTGAATCCATTACAGGGCTGATGTGTAATCACAGAGGACCTCTGTGCCCCCTCAGACTGTAATTACCTGGATACAGATATTCCCTCACTCCATCCCCTAGAGCTGCTCAAAGCCAAGAACTCTGTTAACCAGCATGCAGTGCTTTCAGCGTGCCTGGGTGGCAATGTGGAGATATATGTGAGAGATGTGGCCTAGAAGAAAAAAAAATCAGGGATAAAATTGTATCTAAGTAATGGGATTTTGACCTTGCGGTGTGTAATGGCCATAGTTCACCTCGGAGATTGAATCAGGCACGGAGCAAATCAAAGCCGGCACCTTGAAAAAAGGAAGTTCCCCCCCGCCCCACACACATATGGAAATCTTCTGAGGGACTGTACACGCAGCATGACTGCACCGTGAAATCAACCCCCGTTGTCTGTCTTTGCCTCTCTTACACGGTGACATCGCTGTTGCTGCTGACAAACATTATCTTGTGTGTGATCATGTGCATAGTGTCACACACACACACCCCCCACCCCCCCCCCCCCCCCCCCCCCCCCCCCCCCGTCAAAATAAGTCGAAGTGGAGCCGGCTGTGTAGACACACTAGGCTGTCACACTGTGTCAAGCGTTGGTGTCAGCGTTGCATCTGTTGCAGTCACATCTCAGAAGACACAAGGAGAAACGTCTCTCTGTTGACTTCATCTGTTTGTTTGGCAGCCTGCCTGATTGCTGGAGTGCGTAGTGGAGAAGAGAAGCGCCGGGCTCAGTTTGGTGCACACGCTGCCAACAAGCCTAATCCGCCTTTCACCGGAAAAAAAGGAGGGAAACAGGCCCCAAACAAACACACATCTCTGCTTGTGGCTTTCCATTGCGCACACACACACACATTTCAAACACACTCACATTGCAGTAAACATTAAAAGTCTTTGCTGCGAGCCTTGAATGCATTTTATGTTTACGTTCTAAGTATGTGAAACTTTTCCTTTAACACACCGATAATAGCATGAGTTCAAAAAGTCTCAGTAGTCCAAATTTAGTTTTCTTCATACACCTTTATCATTAACTGTGAGCTCCCCTATCATCACCAGCTTCTTGCGACATAGTTTTTTTTTGTCACAGAGTAAAACTTTTGCAGAAACTTAAGTGAAAAGGAGAACTGCGGCTGTAGGACAGAATACCTCTAATTATTCTTAACAAGCTTCTTCCTTAGCAGGCTGCAATTCTATTAGAGATGCAAAACTTGGCCCACGTTGACCTTCGCGTCTACTTTAATGGCCGAGCGAAAGAGTTAAGGTGTCGCTTTGAGCAAGCAAGGACCAGCACCTGTACCTGATCAAACCTTCAAAGATTTTTTTTTACACACAAGTCCACGCAGAATGAGTAGAACTTAATAAGTAAGGCTTTTTGAAGCTGACCGTGACACCAGCTGAACCCTGACGCCCTCACATGATTAATAGCATTATGGTAAGCCCTTTTTTTTCTCCTCTAAGTAAAGGATTGTTTGAGGCTGTCTGATCAAAACGCTCTACCTTTTATTGGTCCAACTGTCAAAGGAAGCAGACTATGTGTTTGGCAGTTTGATGCATTCTATGTGGATGGGGAATAGACATGAATGGAGCATGAATTGGACTCATTAAAGAAAAAATCTCTCTATGATCAGAATAAAGCCTGTTACTGCAGTTGATTACCGTTTCAGTGCAAACAAACAACCTATTCCTCAAGGAGCCAGCACTCTGGTAGTTGAATAATGACTGACTTTCGGCTTGTTTAGCTGCACATCTGGACTACAAGTTTGGAGGAAGAAAGGCGCACGTAATCAGTTGCAAATGTTCACACGAACACACCAGACTTCATAAATATGCATCCCTCGCAGAAAGAAAGATGATAGCAGGTGATTGACGATTAATACTCACGTTGAAAACAGCCTACTCTGCGGTTTATCACAATAACTTGGCCTGGAAGAAATGCGAAATCCACATGTGAAGACGACGCCTGCACCACAGCTTAAGAGAGGATTTTCAAAATGTCTTCCGCCGGCTCCTGGAAGAATACGAGATCAAAGTTGACATCCATCTGTGATTCATTTAAACTTTATTGACAATCAGCCGAATTGGCCAAGACAGAAACTGTGTTGGACCCATCCGTTATAGGCTCATCGCTCTGCCACATGTTGGATGTTTTGATGATATGTAAAAACCAGATTGGATCTGGTTTAAAACTTAGGTCTAAATGCAGAGACCACTTGATCTGACGAACAAGCTGTACAGTAAATACTCCCAAGTTTGATGCACTGCATGCCAGAACCATATCCGCCTCATATTAGCCACCTCTCCATCTGTCCGACATCACAACACATGGAACAAACACATCTCTCATGATGACATTTTACACCGCGGGAGTGAGTAATGACATGCTACTTTACATTACACGCGTGCCACTCAGGCTTACAGAGGAGTTGACTTATCGGGCTAAATTGTGACAATTGATGCGACGCTACAAGTTCGTGACAGAGATGACTTGTAGCTGCTTATGCGATCTGAACCTTCAGGCGCACACTTGGTGAGAAACGCTCACCATCACTGCAACTGTGAATTAGGAGTAGCGGCTTAATGCTCAAACGAAACTGACTTGTTTTTCAAATGCCGTTTCATTTGGAACCCAAATCCCACTAACTGAGTGAATTTCTGCGAATGTTGCGTTTTTCCGCCCTCTGAAAGTTTTGTGTCTTTCTTCGTCCTCTGCCACCTTTTGTTGTCCAACGTGGAATGATAATCAGAGGTGTCAGACTGTTTGGATTTCTATGATCCTTCGCAGATTTGCGATTAGCATAAACCATAAGCCAAGCAAAAGCGACACTGGCTAAAATCACAGTGGGATCCGTATTTGTTAAGGCGTGACGCCTCATAGCCTGTGCGCCCTGCTTTGAGCCTTCTCACATGGTGCCAGCGTGTACCCCTGAGGCCTGTTAGCCAAACCCCACGGATTGAGGGAGATCAAATTTACTCACAGACACATGCAGCCACCCACATGCACATGAACAGAAATGATACACAAACAAAGCACAAATATGCTCCCATATTC